TCTGGGGCCCTCACCACAAAAAAGACATTGAGGTGCTGAGTGGGTCCAGAGAAGGGCAACGGAGCTGGTGAGGGGTCTGGAGAACAAGTCTTGTGAGGAGAGGCTGAGGGAGCTGGGGGTGTTCAGCCTGGAGAAAAGGTGGCTGAGGGGAGACCTTCTCGCTCCCTACAACTCCCTGAAAAGAGGGTGTAGCCAGGAGGGGTCAGCCTCTTCTCCCAAGGAACAGGCGATGGGACAAGAGGAAATGGCCTCAAGTTGCACCAGGGGAGGTTCAGATTGGATATTATGAAAAATGTTTACACGGAAAGGATTATTAAGCCTTGGAATGGGCTGCCCAGGGAAGTGGTTGAAGTACCATCCCTAGAGGTATTTAAAAGATGGGTAGACATAGTGATTAGAGACATGGTTTGGCGATGGTTTTTATCAGAGTTAGGTTGATGGTTGGACTAGTTGATCTTAGAGGTCCCTTCCAACCTAGATGATTCTATGGCCAGTGAGCAGTTTTTGAAGAGCAAATGACATGGATCTTTGCTGTAATATTCACATGAATAGCTCAGTTAATGGCGTGGCCTGTTTTGATTTTCCATCAGCCTAAGAGGAATCCAAGCCTTTGGCCTGAGCTTTGTCCAAACCATCTGCTTGGACAGCGCACACTGCCCCTGCACAGAGGTGTAAGTAGCACAGATCTGGACTGAGCCTTTAACCTTCACCCTGTCTCTCCTGCCTTTCCCCCAGAGCTGTATTGAGTGAGCGAGGTGACATGTTCTGTGGTCCCAAAAGGAAGCCAGTGATGCTCATATACAGCCTAAGCACCTCACAGGCTGTTTTACTGAAACAGTCCTGCAGAAAGACAGGGGATCACACAAAATGCTCCTCCCTCCTACTGGCCAGCAAGCCAAGAAAAGCCAATGCTGGCTTATGGGTGATGCGCATATAATCACAGAATGGTTTCGGTTGGAAGGGACCTTAAAGATCATCGAGTTGCCACCCCCAGCCCTGGGCAGGGACTTCTCCCACCAGCCCAGGTTGCTCAAAGCCCTGTCAAACCTGGTCCTGAACCCCTCCAGGGATGGGGCAGCCACAGCTCCTCTGTGCAACCTGGGCCAGGGTCTCACCACCCTCAAAGTGAAAAAATTTCTTCCTGAGATCTCATCAAAATCTCCCCTCTTTCAGTGTAAAACCATTACCTCTGGTCCTATTGCTGCAATGTGTCTGGTCATTCCCTTACCTCTCTCTTCCTGGTCTACAGGCAAAGGACTCCGAGGGCTCCATAGCTCTCATGAAAACTACAAAGCACATCTAGAAGCTTCTGGAAGCTCAAAGAAATTTTCAGAAAAAGGCTTTTCTTTCATTTTACAAATATGTTTGCAGCCATCATCATGTTAAAGAAAAAATAGCCTAAAAAAACCACCCCTGCAGAACAAAATTCCCATGCAGGAGCTGTTTCTCATTCTTTCCACTTTTCTTCCTTTATGTACAAATAAGAGTGGAGAGAACATGTTTGCACTTAACAAAAGGATAAACCCTGCTAATCTACTGATTTGTCTGCCAGCATTGTGCTTATCACAGCACTCTATGTTGGCTGGAGCAGACGTGGCCCTAACGTACAACAAAAATCATGTCATGTCATGTCATGTGAGGCTGTGGGCAGGACTTGCCTGTTTGGAGGGGACACGGTGACAGTTCAAGTCACAGGCTGCTGTGTTTGTGACCAGGATGCCCACATCTGTCACCAACAACAGAAAACACCATGCTGAAGAACATACAAGCCAGAGTCATTGATGGCAGGTAGCCATAGAGCAGAGGGAAAGAAAGAGTAAGATGATTTTGGCCAGCTCAAGAGGCAGTGATGGCAGATCACCCTCTGATGGTGCATTAGCAGAACATGACTGGAGCAAAGGACCCTGGATGGGACCAGGAGGATGACCCATCAGGAGGCACAGGGGTTATATCCAGAAATGATGACAGTATAAAAAACAGGAGAAGCAGGACAAAAGCCCAAAGTGAACATGAGGTACGAGAACACTTAGTGCAGATGAATACATGAGAGGGGAAAGAAACGACATGGAAGGACGGAGCATCACCCTTCTACTCCACTCTGGAATGCTGTGTCCAGCTTTGGAGTCCTCATCACAGGACCTGTTGGAAATGGTCCAGAAGAGGGCAACAAAGGTGCTCTGAGGGCTGGAGCATCTCTCCTACGAAGGCAGGCCAAGAGAGAGTTGGGGTTGTTCAACCTGGAGAACGGGGGAGACCTTAGCGCCCCTTCCAGTCCCTAAAGGGGCTCCAGGAAAGCTGGGAAGGGACTCACTATCAGGGAGGGGAGCCATAGGATGAAGGAAAACGGTTTTACACTGAAAGAGGGGAAATTTAGACTAGATGTTAGGAAGAAACTCTTTACTACGAGGGTGGAGAGAGCCTGGCCCAGGTTGCCCAGAGGAACAGTGGCTGCCCCATCCCTGGAGGGATTCAAGACCAGGTTGGACGGGGCTTTGAGCAACCTGATCTGGTGGGAGGTGTCCCTGCCCAGGGCCGGGGGTGGGAACTCGATGATCTTTAAGGTCCCTTCTAACCTAAAGCATTCTTCTAACCTAAAGCATACAAATCATATGAGGAACGGCTGAGGGAGTTGGGACTGTTTAGTAGGAGGAAGAGGAGACTCAGGGGAGACCTCATCACTCTCTACAACTTCATGAAAGGACACTGTAGAGAGGTTGGTGCTGGTCTCTTCTCACAGGTAATTAGTGACAGAACGAGAGGGAATGGCTTCAAGCTCCAACAGGGTAGGTTTAGATTGAACATTAGGAAAGAATTTTTCACCCAAAGAGTGGTCGGGCATTGGAACAGGCTGCCCAGGGAGGGGGTGGAGTCCCCATCCCTGGCTGTGTTTAAGGGCCGTTTAGATGCAGTGCTGAGGGACATGGTGTAGGGGAGGACTTTGTAGAGTAGGGTAGATGGTTGGACTCGATGATCCCAAGGGTCTCTTCCAACCTAGACCATTCTATGATTCTATGATTCTATGATTCTGTGATTCTGTGATCACGGGGAGGTGACGCCTACTGAATGTCAAGGGGAGGAGGCAGGACCTTGAGGGGGGCGAACAGCCGATTCGTGGTGACGGTCTGCAGACACAAACGAGGAGGAGGAAGGCAGCCAGAGCACCCTTCCCTCTGCAGAGGCGACCCTGCTCACGCGGCAGTGCTTCGGGATGCGGGGAGTCGGGGCCAGCCGAGGGGCAAGCGCCCACCCCCGGCGTCCCGTGGGGGAAGACAGCCCGGCGCCAGCAGAGACCGGCCAGGGAGATGGACGGCAGCCTTCCTGAGGCGGGGACCCGGGGCGGGAGGCACCCGAGGCGGCCACGGGGCTCCCGGAGCGACCATGTGCTGAGCGAACGGGCCATCCTGCGGGGTTCGGCAGGTTCAGCCCCCTCCTCACGTGGAGGAGAGAACCCTCCCGGGCAATCTGCGTGGAGAAGATATCCCCCACCCCCATCGCTGTATGGAGGAGATCCCCCGCAAACACGCTGCATGCAGCAGACACCTTCCTCGCCCCCAAAACTCCCCACGTGGAGCAGATCCCCCACAAACCTCTCGCATGTACCGGTTCCCCCCCGACACACACTTCATGGAACAGATCCGCCCCTCCCCGCCCCCTGCATGGAGTAGATCCCACCCCCGCTTCCCTCACGGAGCAGATCACACACACACCCTGAACGGATCGCATCCCCTCTCCCCATACCCCCCCTGGATGGATCAGACCCGTCCCACGGGCTGCGCCGAGGATGTGCCGCTGCGGCAGAGGAGCGGAGCCGTTCCGGGCACAGCGACTGCTACAGCCCCACCGACAGATCTTTTCGGTACTTTTCCTACTTACCTCTTTGCTTCTGCAATAAGTAATTTCGGAGGAAGATTTTGCTTCAGATAAAACAGATATGTGCTTGCTATGGCTTAAGCTAAAATAGGTATGTGCTTGCTACATGGTTGGAAAATGGATAGTGTTAGAGAGACGGAAGAAACGGTGGAGAGTACCGAATTGTTGCAAAACAAGGGATGTTGTGGTTAGCTAGGAGAACGGCAGAGGTGGCAAGCATGTAAAGAATGGAGAAGCCACAAGAAAGACATGGTGATGAAGACTTTGAGCCTTCCTCTGACGACCACCAGGAAGACCCCTGAGGAAACACTGGGGGGCATGTTCAGGGGTGGGATGTGTTCCAAGAACTCATTGATTATGCAAATCATTTTACAAGAAAAACCATGAATATGTATGAGTAATGAGAAATGAAACCAAGCATTTCTAAGAAGAGAATGAGCAATGGCAGGAGAAATCCCCTGTGTAGCTCTCAGCACTCTAATAAATATTCTTTGCTTCACAGACTTTGTCCCTGACTAAAATTTGATACAGTGAGCATGTTTATCACACATCTCTCACGCAGGAAAGTTGAAGCCAAGAAGAACAGCTGAGGGGTGTGTTCCTGTTGTCCTGGGAACCACTTTCTCCCCGTAGGACATAACCTGGAGTTTGGGAACTGCTGCCGTACCTGATGCATCCATTCACACTCACTGTCAATCTCATCACGAATTGATAGACCTTACAGTCACCATGGCATCACCCAGATTTATTTTTATTTCTCACAACTTCTACTTAGGGTTGGCTAAATGTGACCAGGTCAAAGATCAGGTACATGCAGGACTGGTTACTTGAAGCAAGTAATGACTCTCTCTGTTGGATGCAATGAAGTCTGTATGGTAAGAAAGCTTGCCGCAGCTCTGCTCGGGGACCTCATTCCTCTGATTTCTAAATATAAAAAAGGAAGACAATGTAGAGGTTCTTGGAGCAATTGTATTGTTTATGGGGTTGCTTCAGGTCTGTGGCTATTGCAAATGCTCTGCCATATTATTGGCCCAGAACCAGTATCTCCCAATTCTGCTGAAAGACCTGGATTCTTAGCATCAATCATATCTACTCAGTCTCTTGGGGGGCACAAAAAGGACTTTCAAAACTCACTGGTTTTGAATAAGTGCCAATTTCTGGCCTTCCTTTATGAGGCCACTCCAGCACCAGAGTGGGAGGAATGCAGCTGCGGCTGCGTTGGTGTTTTGACAGATCTCTTGTGGCCTAGAAGGGTCCTTCTCTGCAGGACTCAAACTCACCTGTCCTCCAATGTCACGACTTTTGGCTCGCAACTTGTTAACCTGGCATTCAGCAATATCAGCTCGTTCTTCAGCCTGTTCCAGCTCGTGCTGGGTCTTGCGGCATCGTGAGAGGTTAGCGTTTGCCTGTTCTTCCTGAAAGTCATGCAGTGCCGTCAGTGACGTGGGCATGAATTGACATTGCTCTGTTACCATTAACCGAACACCCTGTGGCCGCAGTAACATCCTACAGCTCACAGCTGCATCCCTGCGCTGCCAGCACTCCAAGCACTTTTATCAGCACAATGTGAGCCCTCTGCTGAGGACAGAGCAGTTAGTCCTGCTCAGTTCCAGCTGGCAGAATTGGCTGGTGAGGCTCCAAAAGTGCAATGGCTCCATGATAATTACAGCTGTGCCTGCTCTGTTGTGAGCCGTAAGTCCTTACCAGGTAAGGAATACTTAAAGCCAGTGGCCACAGCTGCCCTATCAAACTGGGTGTTCAATTATTTTAATGAACTTGGGAGCCCAGGCCTTTTGGAAATCTCCACCTTGGGCCCACAAGGACTTAAAGAGAGTTCTGCACTCACAGCTTCCTCAGCCTGCTTCTTGTATGCTTTCACTTTTAACTGCAGCTTGTCCACCAGATCCTGGAGCCGGAGAATATTTTTTTTATCCTCTTCAGACTGTGGAAGTGAAAATCAAGTCAGTGTCGGAGGATGGACCGAGGTGATGCATGTAAGAGGGCAGAGGATGTCAAATACCTGGTAAGTGAGCTCCTTCAGCCTTCGCTCATACTTGCGTGCACCTTTCAGTGACTCTATTCCCCGTTTCTGCTCAGCATCAAGCTCATTTTCTAGCTCATTTATCTGAAACACAGCATCATGGTGAAGACAGCAAACTGCTGAGAAAGGCTGCAGGGTCCTGGGACATGGAGTTCTGCGAACTATCGCTGCAGAGAGTGCAGCCTCCTGCAGCTGCTTCTTGGGGCCAGACAGACTAAAAGTTGCTCACTGTGCTGTATTAGTAGTGACATATTGTGTGAATCCAGATTTATAGAAGGAACTTAGCTGTGCATACCTGGGGCATTTATATCCAAAATTAGGTTTAAATCTGTCAGAAAAGAGGAAGTTGAAACAGGGAGGGGAGAGTTCTGTCAATGTTCACCAGGTAAATAGGGGAAATCTATTTAATTTGTAATTTTTGAGTCCAGCTCACCCTCAGGAATAATCCCTAACAACCTCCCACACCTCCCTGCCTCTTCTATAATGTATATAAGTCAAACCTGGACTCCAGTGTTTTTATTTCTGGGTGGATATTTTCTTTCAAAGCCAAGAGCACCAAACCCTGAGTCAGTTGTTCTGTATTTTGCAACAGGTGAAGAGAACAGGAACTGGTCAGGCAAAGGGTCCATCCAGCTGAGCACTCTGGCCCTGGGAGTGGCAGCAGTGTAATCTACATAGGGACAGCAGGTGATATATCTGTGCTGTTTCCTTTAGTTTGTCTATAAACCTGCTGATTTCTGATCCCTTTTGCAACCTTGTACGAGCTGCCTCTGCAGCCTCCCATGGCAGCAGGTTCCAGAATTCCACTGCCCACTCTGTATAGTATTTCCTTTTGTTTCTTTTAAACCAACCTCCAGAGGAAGATGCTCTGATCTGAAGCATGTGTTCTTATATCATGCATTTTGATGAATAACCATTCAGAATACACCTTGGTCACCGCTGTCATGATTCTGTAAACGCTGATCACCTCCCCCTGACCTATCTCCTCTCCAAATAATAGTCTGACTCTTTTTTGTCTCTCCTCATAAGGCTCCACCCTGGATACCATTTTCTGGATGCTTTTCTAACTGTCAGGTCCTTCTTGAGTTGCAGAGACCAGAATTTGCACATGGCAAGTTATGCTCTCTGTCTTGTTCTCAGTGCCCTTCCTTATAAAGCCTGAATTTTTTTCTCTTTTGGGTTTTTGCTTCTCCTACATGTAGGACAAACAGCTTCTGAGGTTTGTCATGGACGAGACAGATTACCTGGCTGAGCTGTCATTACCAATTCCAAGTTCATCTCCAAGTAAGTATATCTTAAATTGTTTTTCCCTAGATAAATTACTGTATATTTCTACTGTGATGTTCACCTCCCACCATTTTTGCCCACTCATTTTGTATGAGGTCATTCCTAAATTCCTCTCCCACAATGCAATGTACAACTACTCAGTGTAACTCATCAAACCTGCTGGAGATACCTGGGGTTGTCCCCTTCCAAGGAGGTTCCAACAACCAAGAGCCCACTCAAGAACTTAACCTTAGCCTACCCTCATCTTCACCATACCCTTGCCTCTAGTTTCTGGAGTTGCTTCTTTCCACCCTTCAGAGCCAGCTGCTCAGCTTCATCCAGATGGAGCTGCAGGTCCTTCACTGTCTGTTCCAGATTCCTCTTCATCCTCTCCAGGTGGGCGCTGGTGTCCTGCTCCTTCTTCAGCTCTTCTGCCATCATGGCTGCCTGGTAGTAGTGCAGAATTATGTTACAAATAGGCCTCCCTATCACTGGCAGTTCTGTGCTCTCTCCAAGAGCAATGCCCGGCTTCACATTAGTGTGTGGCTCTCCACATCCTCAGTCAGTGCCTGTGGCTGTGCTAAGAGTCTGTCATATAAAGAGGATTACTCTTTCTCAGTATCTGTATTTCTAAAACTATTCTGCCTTGGAGAACAGGCAAGGTTGATGACAAGAAAAAAATAATTAGGGCATACAAATGACTGAGTACCAAAATTTAATTTCTTGGGAGTCAGTGGAAATTAGAGGCATTTTGAAGTACTATCAGCTAGCAGTCTGCATCTCTGGGCTTCCAAATGATTTTGAATATCTGGCCATTTGGTGCCTGAATTTGCTGAAGAGTCAGACTCCTCAGCAGTTTTTGCCAATGAAATGACTCCCCGTATCTTGAACTACAATGAAAATCTTGTGCCTGCTGAGATCTTCAGAACGCTGGATGGATAGCTGTCACCAATGTGACAGAGTAGAGGGGAACCCACAGCACTGCTGCTGGTGGGCAACCAGGACCAGACACAGCTCCTCAGGCCCAGGTGCACCATGAAGTCATGGTGGGACTGTTAGTCAGTAGTGTGACCATTTTCTGTTCTATTTTCATATACTTTTCCTAGTTTGTCCTAAGATTTATTTCTTCTGATGCTGTGGAACTGTAGTCTTGTTTGAGTGAAACATTCATATTCTCTTTACTTCTTACATGTCTAGCATTTCTATAGAAGCATGTATGAATTTAGTCTTAATTTCTGCTTTTCTGTGGTGTGTCTAAACAGGACTTGGTTAGATCACCCTTTTCCTATTACAGTTTTTCCTATTATATCTGTTCTATCCTGTCTGTTACATTTATCCTGGAAGCAAAAGTGAATGTGGGTATGGGAAAGGGGAGGCAGGATGCCTCTTCAACGCAGACTACCAGAACATGAGTAGAGGACCTCGACTGAAGGGATCTTCCATGGCAAGCAGGAGGGCAGAGGCTGTGTGAGGCCCATGTCAGAGGGATTGTGTGTCACCAATATTTTCTGCCCCTATGTTGAATTGGTTCTTCTCAACCCAATTGCTCCTTTCTGAAGTATAAAAGTGACTGTGGTAGTATAAAGTGGAAGAGAGGCAAGCAAGAGAACTTACATCTGTGATCGCTTTCTTTGCTTTCTCCTCTGCATTTCTGGATTCCTGAATGCTGTCTTCAACTTCATTCTGTAAATGAGTAATATCCACTTCCAGTCTCTTCTTGGTGTTGAGGAGACTTGTGTTCTGTTGGGACAGCCGGAAGACATGTCATTCCCACCCTGTTTCACACGACTCCCACATGCCTGTTGTAAAGGAGATAGCAAATACCTGTGAGTGGAGAAGCTGCACTCGCTCACTGGCATCTGTCAGCTCCTGCTCGGAAACTTTCCGTGCTCGCTCTGTCTGCTCCATAGCAGCTCGCATCTCCTCCATTTCTGCTGTCATCAGATTGTTCCTACGCTCTACCATAGCAAGCTGCTCCTTCAGATCATCATTCTCTCTCAAGGCATCATCCAAATGGAGCTGGGAATCCTTTGAAGGTGGAAGCACAAGGAGATTCAGAGGCAAGCAGAATGAGTGGCAAAGACCTGTAGGACAGTAGCCCTCATGGTCCCTACCTTGAGTTGCCCTTGCACAGCTTTGAGGTGCTTCTGTGTCTCTGCTATCTGACAGTTAGCATGGCTCAGCTGTATTTCCATGTCATTCAGATCTCCCTCCATCTTCTTTTTCATCCTCAAAGCATCATTTCGGCTTCTTATCTCAGCATCCAGTGTAGTCTGCAGAGACTCTAATACCCTCTGGTGATTCCTCTTCAGCTGTTGAATTTCCTCATCTTTCTCTGCACTCCTTCTGTCAACATCTGACTTCACCTGGTTCAGCTCCAGCTGAACACGTAAGATTTTTCCCTCTTCATGTTCTAAAGAGCCCTGGCAAGGTTGAAATAATATACTTTGTCTCTGTAGTGTTCATTATTGGGAAATGCCCATGCAGAATGTTGACACTTTGCAGTCATTAATGCAGATATATTTGCCTTACTGTAGACCATTAGAGAAGGCCTAGCTCTGAAAAAAATGACTGCTGTTCCCATACACATACCTTAGCTGGGTATTAATCAGTAATTTAGGAACAAGACTTCTTAGGAAAATGTCTCCTATGTAACAAGGTCTGGGCACTGAGGGCTATGTTGACACCGCAGAGATAACAAACGTGAATACTTAAAATAGGACAGACAAGTGTCATGCTCAGAAGAAGCTTGCCTTCTCTTGGATCTCGTGCTGAATTTTGCTTAGGGGCTCTACACTTGGTCTCACCCCAGTGACTGTGTGGGCATCTTCCCCTTCCATACAGCCTTTTCCCTCTGATACTCATACTGTCTATCTTCAGATGCCTAGGAGTTAGAAGCCTCAAGCTGGGTCTTTACAACCAGTGGACAGAAATAAGAGCATCCAGAGAATAAAACGGTTGACATAGCCTTGGCATCTCTTTTAAGAACCGACCCTCCAGAGATACCTACTTTTCCTTTTTGATTCTAGAATGAGCCTATGGTGAGTAATCCAGGATTAGACTGGTGACATTTAGATTCATGAATTAGAGCAGATGGATTTGCATGGCCACTATAACTCTTGCTTCTACTGCCCACCCATCTAGTGAGATCTAAAGATTAGAGATGTGTCAGTTGTTTTTTATTTCTTTTTCTACCTATGGGGAGTTAGAGGGAAAATAATGTGAGGCTCTTCTTGGTAGTAGAGAGCAAAAAGACAAAAGGCAAGGGTCAAAAGTTGATACAGGGGAAATCCTGACTGCATATAAGGGTAAAAACATTTTTCCATGAGAATGATGCCTCACTGGAAAAGGTGATCCAACAATACTGTGAAATCTTCATCCTTGGAAATTATAAAGAAGAATTAGTCAAAGCTTTGAGCAACCTATGTAACTTTGAAGTCAGCCCTGCATTGAGCAGGTGGTTGTACTAAAGACCTCCCAAACATCCTTTCCACCCTAGGTAAATTCTGTGTCTCTGTGTTTGAGCTACGTCCTAGAGCATGGGCAGCTCTCAAAGGCATTTTGTGGAGACTCAGATATTGGTCATATAGAAGTACCAAAAGCTTTCCAAAAGACAGTCAGGGCAGATAGGGAAGAGAAGGCAGAACCCAGACAAGAGAGAACTGAAAGAGCTGCAATTTGGCATGGACTAGGAAAAAAACTAAGATTTAAAGTTACAAAGACCTGAGGGATAGCCCAAGACAGGAAGGAGAATGGAGGGACCATGGAATTGTAGGACCTGGTATGCAGCGTGCGTCAGCAGAGCACGTCAGTGTACCAGTACCATCTCCAAGATTCAGCTGATCCCCAGCAAGCTCTCCATGTTCATTAGAACCCGTGTCCTGTGAACTGACTCCTGTAATGTATTACTGAGTCCAGTTCATTGAAAGTGCAGGGAAGGAAGAAATATAATCTTAATTCTTTTAAACATTCATTTTTTCTTTGAACAGGAGGTGATATCAAGAAAATTTTAAAATATGGATTAGACGTGCTCTGAAAACATCCTTGATAAATTTGACTAGAAAACAAAAGTTGTCAGAGTTTTGAACTACAAATGACCTTTCTTTAGCCTTTCAGAGGAGCAAATTCAAACAGGTGGTGCAAAGTAAGCTCAATTTTAGTCTGGGACTTAGTGTTTTTGTGCATGATAGCGCAGCAAGGAATGCCACATTGCTATGGGAGAGGAGCTGTCCCTGTACTATTTGGTCTACCTGTGCTCTCCTACTGCACCTTTGTGACACTATCATGACAAACAGGAATGTGTAATCTCCAAATTTTCTCCATTCATGCTCTAAAAGCAAGCCTCCTTATTGTGGACACTTGCCTCTGCTTCTTCTAATGCTGCTTGAAGGTCACACTTTTCTTGTTCAATTTGCTTCTTTGCTTTCTCCAGTCCATGATTAGCTTTTCCACATTCAGCAATCTGTTCAGTCAGATCAGAAATTTCCTCTGCAACATAGAAAATACAGATTCGACTCATCTTAGGTAATATTGTCAATGGACATGCAATTGCTGTTTGGCAAGGGGAGTGATGGAAGAGATAATAATGTAGTGCAATGCAGCAGTGAGGAGAAATAATAGGTCTTGTCTCCTGTGCAATCTTTATTTCTGATTACCTGCTATTTCCAGTTCAGTGTGCAATTTGAAAATGAGAGGGACCAACTGTATTGAGCTCAGAGAATAATGGCAACTTCCTCTGGATAATGAAATTACATCTCCAGAGATGGTCCTGTTTGATTGCTCTCTTTATCCTTAGATAATCCCCTGGGATCATTCAGCTAACAAAAAAGGGAACTGAGTTGTGTTTCCTTTATATAGTTATTTTACTTATTAAATGCCAATCTCTTGTGCCACAGCTGCATGGCCCTCCCATAATCAGGAGACAGATGACAGCCCTTCAGATTTTGTTTTCTAATGGCAGTGACTGAAATAATCTGGAAAAAAAAAAAGTATCTGGTTTCATCATAATTTCTGTCCCCAATTTGGTCCCTAACCATGAATAGGATTATGATGGTGGGAATGGAGGAGGAATACCATCAGGATGTCAGATGCTGTAGGCCTGTGACTGTGATCAGTTGAACAGGAAAGAAAGTTGCCTAACCTGAACTTTGTGGGAAAACCATAAGGAACAAAACCCTGGGAAGAGGCAGAGCTCTGGTAGCCCAGAAACATAGAAGCATCTTAGGACTCCTGGGAGATTCTGATGGAGCTGATGGTGGATCATGGTGGAGCTGCTAGAAATCTGAACTTACGCTGGAGGTTCTTATTTTCCCGCCTGACAGTCTCAGCCTGGTCAAGCATTTCTTCATAGGCATTCTTCATCCGGAAGATCTCAGTGCTGAGAGAGCGAGACTCCTTCTGGGCAGCTTCCAAGTCAGCCTGACTCTCCTGGTACTTCTGCTTCCATTCAGCAAGGACCTGTAGTGACAAGAGCTATCAGAGTATAAGAATGACCCATTTTGCAACACTCCTGTCTCTGCACCTTTACAGGACAATAACCCAAGAGGCAGGGCCTGCTTTACAGTCTTTTGTTTTAGACTGTTCTCTCCTGTGAAAATCAATTCACTCTGATATGTACTCTGGCTGTTTTGGTGGAACCTACTTAAATTATCCTCTTCAGCTAGCACTAGTGCATATCCCAAGTTCTCAGGCATAAGTTTGGTTTGACAGCACTGGACACAATGTGGGTAGTCTGATGAGGCTGTGTGAGCCTTTTTATTATTGCAGGAACCAGTGGTCTTGCACTCAGCCCACCAAGAAAGATCACATTACTGATTGTCTCCTGAGTTTGGTACCACAGCCCTGCAGGGCATCTTTTTTAGCACATTCACCCAATTCACAAGGCTGGGCCAAGGCACAGGGCTGTGCAACATCACTTGGGCAAAGAGTGATGATTTTGTTAAATGTTATTAAAGGCAGTAAAGGCTGGAACTGTGACAAGGAGTCTGAGGCTCTGCCTAACCCAAATACAAGGCTGGCAGACTTAGTGCCAAGTAAAACTCGGGGCTTGTTATCTTGCTTGCAAATACTTGCTCAGTCTGCTTGATCAGAGACTAGAAATGGATCCTCCCAGTCTATCTCCCTTGCGAAAACTTCGTGCTTTTTAAAACTATCAGAAAGCTACTTTATTGTTTGCTGTAGTCATCTGGGGTTACTCACGCTGTGACATTATCATTATCACATGTCACATTATGTGCTCCCTACCATAGCTTTGCTTTGGATAAAATGTAATTTATTCTACTGTGAGTGCAGAACTTCCGTAATTTAAGAATTTGGCCTGGTCTATCAAATGTATAACAACATTCAGATCTGGTAGGGTCTTTGAATTAACCTTGTCAAAATCCTTCTGCTTTTTATCAAATGCTGCACAGGCTGCATTTGACCTCTCCACGTCAATCATGAGGTCATCCACTTCCCCCTGCAGCCTCTGCTTTGTCTTCTCCAGTGATGCACACTTTGAGTTGACAGCCTCAATCTGCTCCTCTGACTGCTGGAGGCGCTGAGCAAGCTTCTTTCTGCAGGATGAGACAGTCAGAGCTGAGAGAAGTAAAATTCTGGCATTCTCAGAAAATGGGCAGGAAGAGAGTTTGGCATGGGGGAGGTGGGCAGAGAGAGCAACCTAGAAAGCTGTGATGTGAACAACAAGAATCAATAGGAGCCTGGAATGATACAGCACACTTAAGGGGTAAATCTCCCAGGGGTAAATTTCCAAGGTGGAGATGAACCAGAAATACACTTTAAATATTGGCAAAGAATGTGATTTCTCAGCTATTATGATTAACTGCATAGTTAAGGCACTGGAATTCTCCTTTCTGGAGATGCTCCCAAGCCTCTAATCCTTCTCTCCTCCTTTAAATCTTTACTCACTCCCCTTCTCACTCCTAACACATTACAAATGAAACTGCTCTGCATATTCTCCATACAAGCATATTCTGGTTTCCTTCACTTCCTTCTCACATTTACACTTAAATGTCCTTCTACTTGCTCCAGACCATCCCTACACATACTTGGCCTCCTCCAGCTCCTCCGTGCGCTGAATAGCGTCCGTCTCGTATTTGGTTCTCCACTGGGCCACTTCGCTGTTGGCCTTGGACAGGGCACGCTGCAGCTCCCCCTTGGCCTCCTGCTCCTCCTCATATTGTTCCCGGAGCAAGTCACAGTCGTGGCGAGCAGACTGCAAGGCGTGGGCCAGGGCGTTCTTGGCCTGGGTAGAAAGTGGGATTGGGACACCAATGGTAATATCCTGGGAAACCTCTTCCAACTAATTAATTTAACACGGGAAGCATAGCTTCTGGGAGGGTGTGGGTGTTTGCAATGAAGGACAGGGGCAAGCCTGGAGGAAACAATCCACTAATTGCACTCCCCACAGAAATGAAACTCTTCTCCCAGTATGGCCTGTGCTAAACAGACCCTGCCCCCACAAGGCGGTGGGGAGTTAAGAGTGCTTTCAGTGGCCAGCTCTAGGAAAATTCATCACCTTTAGCTCTTTAGCTCTGGAATAGCTAAGATGAGAAGACTTGGACTGGATGACCTAAGCAGTTTGGTTTCCTGTGGCATCATGATTTGAGTTACCTGTCTTAAGCAGCTCTTAGAGAGGAGGAATCTAAATCTAATGGATAAGGCAAAATTTGAAAGTCTGCTCACCTTTATCTCTTCCTCTAAGTGCCTCTTGAGTTCCTCAATCTGTTGGGTGAAAGCCTGCTTGCCTCTTGACAGCTGAGAAATCAGAGCATCTTTCTCCTCCACCTGCCGTGAATATTCACCTGGGAAAGCACACAGGAAGGAAGTATTTTCATTGTCCTTTTTGACCCAAACAAACGGTTTTAGGATGCTCGCCCATTCTGCAGCACAGAGGAGAGTCTCTCACCCGATTCTGTCTGCAAACGAGCTCTTTGAGCACTGAGGTCGTTGATCATGCGCTGATGCTCTTCTTCCTTTGTCTTAATCTCACTCAGCTGGTCTTCCAGCGTGCGGCACATCTTCTCCAGATTTGCCTGTGGAGATGACAGAGAACAAAAGAGGAGGAGGATCTGGACTCCTCTTTCTTCCAAACAGCACAATTCTCACCAGAATAATGTGACCAGCTTTGCAAGCTATATTCTACTAATTGGTGTGAGGGGGCTACAGTCCCATGCAGAGACAGAGAGTTATACTGGAATATTATTACAAGATATGTTTCATCATTTTTTATTTTCAAGCTGTTTTCAGTATATTTTTCAAGTACCTTGGCTTTGGAGACAGACTCCATGTTACTGGCCAAGTCATCGATCTCCATCTTCAGCTCACTCTTCTCCTTCTCCAGCTTCTGCTTCACTCGCTGCAGGTTGTCGATCTGCTCCCCGAGCTCGGCCGTGCTGTCCGCGTGCTTCTTCCGCAGGGCGGCAGCCGTGGCTTCGTGCTGCAGCGTGGCCTCTTCGAGGTCGCGACGCATCTTCTGAAATTCTGCCTCACGCTTCTTGTTCATCTCAATCTGAGCTGCAGTAGCTCCTCCTGCTTCTTCCAGGCGCTCGCTGATCTCCTCCAGCTCCCTCGAGAGGTCGGCACGATGCTTTTCCGTCTTTGCACGGATTGCACGTTCAGCCTCAATTTCCTTCTCCCGTTCCTCTATTCGAGCCTGTGAAAGTTAATTGGTTAAATGAGGATTTCTGAATAGACAGATTTGAAATTATCATTAAGGAACAAAGAGCAAACATTCACATCCATTTATATCATCACTAGAAATTTCACTGAATTTTGTCCTAGGACGTGCAATATTCAGATTTGGAACAATAGTGAATGTAAAATCATGGAATCATAGAATTGTCCAGGCCGGAAGGGACCTCCAAAGGTCATCTAATCTGACCTCCCCACAGTCAGCAGGGATACCCCCAAAATCTGGTATTTCCTTTTATGTTATAGCTCAGAATGAATTTATGATGTTATGAAGGATCTACTAATTCAGTTTTCTGAAGAAATAGGGGATGTGTTACTGGAAAATGTAAAGGAATGTGAATTTCTTAGAATTTCCCACAGATTAGGCCAAAACAAAGCGGTGTCCTCTCTCCATCAGCGAACAAGACCAGAGGAACATTGGGATAAGCAATCATGGGATAATAGAACTGAAGAGAACTGTCTTCCTGGCTCTGCATTTAGAAGGTGATCTCTGTCCTGATCATGACGGATTATTTCACATTCTATTGTTTTCTTAGAAAAGTAGCACTCAGTGGCTTCACTACTGTTATAACTCAGTATCTGATCCATTTTCAAAGCCTGCCACAAGCTTCACTTAAGAAATTTCTCACATAGGTGTGTATGATTGGAGGCCAGAGCTGCTGTAAAAGTGCCCTGCAGGTCCAGGTTAATTGTTTTATTCACCTGTAGGAGAATATTATTGTAGAACTGTCTAAGAATAAGTATTAATTAATTCTAAGGAACTTGTGCTTGGTGACTAAAAAATATAAACAAGTCTTAAACTTTACCTGAAGCTCCTTAATTTTCTTTTGCAGCTGAGAACTTTGAGCCTGCTCATCTTCAATTTTACTTTGCAACTGGCTAATTTCAAAATCCTTTCTGTTAAAGAATAAGAATGCAAATTCAATACAGTTAAGATAAATGTGAATTTTAGAATTCAGAGCGTAAAAAATCAGTGCAATACTTTTTTAGCCTGTCATCCATCTGTTGCTTATCGTTTTCCAGATCCATGATGGAATCCTGAGACATTTTGAGATCTCCCTCCAGTTTTCTCTTTGCTCTCTCAAGGTCCATTCGTAGTTTCTTCTCTTGTTCCAGAGATCCTTCGAGCTAAAACACATAAACATACTTTGAAACATGTAAATTATACTTTGAAAGTAACTATTCTTGATTTTAAAATCTAACTAGAGTAGGAAATTGAAAAATAGAGAAAACAATCAGATCCTGTATAGAATTCTCATCTCCAACTACACTTTCGCTGCAAGATCATAGCTGCCATTAGGCTTTGGTTTCAGATATTAAACTGTCCACAGCTTTGCAGTGCACAGTTGAAATGCCAGTTTTTGAAAAATACAGCAATTAAAAATTTCCAGTGGCTGCAGTTCCTAGTATATAGACTGCTAAATATTGACAAATTCCCCATGCTCGTAAATTCCTCAAGTATTTCCATGCTGCACAGCGAGAAACCACAAATAACTGCATCAAACTTCAAACTGCCACAGCTGTACCACTCCAGCTAGTTGGGGCACAAAAGTCTGCAATGCTGAAATACCCAATGATGAACATAGTTTAAATAGGCATGGCAAGATGAAAGATATAATGAATTCCAGAATACCCTGTTATCGGGCAATGATTTATTAGCTGAAATTATTAGAGCTGCCTTGGCTTCTTTAGGTGTTGCTTAAACTCCCAACTACAGATTCCTAGTCTCTTCTAATCTGTCAGAGTATCCCCCTACACAACCCAAAACCTTTTTCTTACATCATCCACTTGCTGCTCCAGTTTGGTCTTGGTTTTGGTGAGTGTGCTGACTTTGTCTTCCTCCACTTGCAAGTCATCCAGTGTCTGCTGGTGGGCTTCCTGGAGGGCCTTTTTCTCCTTAGTGAGTTTAGAAATATTTTCATCCAGAGCTGCCATCTCTTCAGTAAGATTCTTAACCTGTTAGACAGCCAGCATCCATGCTATGAGGAGATGCTTTGAGAAATGACAGACTGAGAACACAGTGAGTGCATCCTTGCAAAATCTTGCATGGATGCAGTCAAAGTGCTCTCCACAGAAGGTCTACATTGTTCACGATGAGGGTAGCAGCAAGTGTCATGCCTGACAGTCAGGCCTCTCTGGTCCTGCAATGGTAGGAATTCTTGCTTTAATTGTTTTTTACTACCAGCCCTATCCTGCTGAATTCTATAGTGGAACATACACTAGTTCTTCACATGCCTCTGCAAACTTTTCTCACTGGGATTTACAAAAAGCATCTGAGTTGTTCTTGCTCAAAAAAATTATTTCCTTTATGTTATATATTTTCTAGGCAAACAGCTGTAGGTCCTCAACAAGAGAGGTTCTTTATAAACATATTATCAAGTGCCAAGCATGGCCAAGGATATGTTAATTTTTCCACAAAATTGAATGAAACACAATAACGTGACAAAGAACCTTATGTCCTTGGAACAAGGGATAACAAATTTAGGGCAGGTAGTTCTAAGTGGGCTGCTGCTAGCTTTATCTTCGAAACTTATTCCTTGTACTTCAGTGGAGCATTGCACACCAGCAACCTTATCTCAAACATGCCAGGTGCTGTGCACTAGCCTGCCTGACCCTTTCTTCCCGTTTGTCTCATTTGGATGGCAAAGCCTGACAGTAGGGATAAGAAACACCCATACTGCTAAGTGCTTTAGCTATATGGCCCTGATATTGGATAAGACGCTCCCTCATCCTAATACCTGGCACCAACTAGATTTCTTCTAAGCATTAGTGTAGAAATGTTCAACATATCTGTAATTGCAAACTTAGTATCCAGTATGGTTCTCACTGATGGCAGTGAAGGGAACCTCAGGGTTGTAATTACATCTCTGCTGGTCCAGTTTCTACATCAGGACTGAACACTGTCACCACAGATGTGAACTTTTGAATTCCAACATATATATCTCAATTCTGCCTCTTCACATTGAATGTTGAGATGTATGTGAAGATACCTGTGCTTCTACTGGGAGATAAATGAGTTCATGACCACCTGATATAGACTCTCCTGGCTACACTGACAGTCTGAACCTTAGAAGTCAGGAAGAACTCTCATCATTTCATCAACTCAATGGAGGGAAAGGGTATCCATCATAGCTGAGACCTGGGCTTCTTAAATATAAGAGAATTATATGAAAACATTTGACATCTACAAAATCAACTCTCTTCAATGCATGTGAGAAAGGACCATCATGGCCATTCTGTGCTAAGCTACTCACAAGCTTAGTCCTCCATTATCCACAGGAGACACAAATATACTGCTTCCGTATGACTGCGAATAGCCAAATATGGAAATTCTCTATCAAGCACCATAACAACCTCTTGACTCTTTTAGTTCAAAAAGAAGTTAATTCTTTTAGTTCAAAAGTCATAGAAAATATATTTTTCCTAACAGGAAGTTATAATTTTAACAAAAAATTTTCCATCACAGGTTATTAAGTGGCTATACCTTTCTCCTGTGCCTTGCCACATACCACTTCAATTCAGAGCACTTAGGAACGACTGCAACTTTCCACAATAGTGAAAACTGTCTGGGGAAGAATAATTCCCTGATTCCTTTGTCACCTTATTCTCTGTTGCATGCTTCTCCTTTTCCACTTTGGCCAGAGTCAGCTCAAGATCATCAATATCTTTCTTCAGCTCAGAGCACTCATCTTCAAGTTTCCTCTTCTTTGCTGTTAGTTCAGCGTTCATCTCCTCTTCATCTTCAATTCTTTCATTTAGTTCTTTAATTTTAGCTTCCAGCTGGATTTTACTTTTGATGAGTCCTTCACATCTCTCTTCGGCATCAGCTAGATTTTCACTCTCCTGTCAGAACATATTGAAGGCACATTATGTTTATCGTAAAAATTACAAAAGGCAACATATGTTGTTCAAGCGCCATCTCCAGGAAACTGATTGCACAAGTCAGGGCACAATTTCCTTTGCACATCACAGTAATGCACATGATTCAATCATGAGGAAATTGTCCTGTTCAGTCATGATTTAGGAAAGTAGACCATGATCCCATGGTAGAGACACGTCCTTTCAGCTGATCAGCTGGTTTGACTATAATAACATGCAATAAACTCAGAGGGTTTAGTCATAACAAGTAACCTGCAAGGAATCAGTGAGATATATGGGTGGATACCAAACTGGATTTCCTGGAAGTATGAGCTTAGATGTGGATTTGTAAAACATATAGAATTTCAAAGTCGACTTTCATAGAGTGTTGGATGATTCTATCTTTAATAAGCTCCTCCAACTTTAATGACACAGGTGAGACTGTCTCTCCTCAGACTTCCTCTCTCACTTTATTCACATGAGGCTAACACTGCTCCCATCATCCTCTAAACTCTCTCTCAGCCAAGACAGGGTCAGGCTCAGCCTAAATTTTATCCTGCAACTTTTACTTTAAAGAACATTTTGAGACACAGGATTAACAGAAAATTTTTGTCTAAATTAATGCTACTATGATGTATTTTAGGCAGAATGCCAGAAAACATGTCTGTTGCCTCCCAGAAGAGTTATGGCTGAAAGCCATCACTGCAGTAACAGAAGATGGTATGTTTAATTCTCTCTTGGAGAGAAACCCATAGCACACACTGAACATCATGGGTGCTTGATGCTTGAGGAATCTTTAAAGCAGGGTTGATAGAAACTCCCTCAGGAAAATGGTACTTAGTGGGAAGACAGAAAGGGCACTTCCAGTACTAAAACAGTGACAAACCAGGAGTCGAGAAAGAGTCAGACAACACACCCGAGTGCAATGTTCCTTTATGTTCTAAAGTCTGAAATCTGAGTGCTTTCAAAGGCATCCTAACTTGGAAGTTAGTTAACCTAGCTAAACCTGGGCTTTTTTTTTTTTTTTTTTTGGTGCACCATCCACAAAGGAGTTAAAGTGAAGCCCCAAATGCTTGTAAAGTAGGTGAATTCTGGACAACAGAGCATTATAGAATCATAGAATTGTCTAGGTTAGAAGGGACCTTAAAGATCATCTAGTCCAATCATCTAACTCTGACAAAAAAATAAATAAGAAATAAGAAATAAAAATCACTAAACCATATTCTTGAGGACCATGTCAACCCATCTTTTGAACACCTCCAGGGATGGTGCCTCAGCCCCCTCCGTGGGCAGCCCATTCCAATGCTGGATAACCCTTTCCGTGAAGAAATTTTTCCTAATGTCAAATCCAAACCTCCCATGGCGCAACTTGAGGCCATTTCCCCTTGTCCTATCTCCTGTGACTTGGGAGAAGAGACCGACCCCCGCCTCTCTACACCCCCCCTTCAGGTAGTTGTAGAGAGCTCCCCTGTAGAGGAGAGAGAGACCTGTAGAGGTCTCCCCTCAGCCTCCTTTTCTTCAGACTGAACAACCCCAGCTCCCTCAGCTGCTCCTCATAAGACTTACTCTCTAGACCCCTCACCAGCTTCATTGCCCTTCTCTGGACCCGCTCCAGCACCTCAATGTCTTTTTTGTGGTGAGGGGCCCAAAACTGGACACAGTACTCGAGGCGAGGCCTCACCAGTGCCGAGTACAGGGGGACAATCACCTCTCGGGTCCTCACCACGCTGTTCCTGACACAGGCCAGGATACCATTGGCCTTCTTGGCCACCTGGGCACACTGCTGGCTCCTGTTCGGCCGACAGTTGACCAACACCCCCAGGTCCTTTTCTGCCAGGCAGCTCTCCAGCCATTCTTCCCCCAGCCTGTAGTGCTGCAGGGGGTTGGTGTGACCCAAGTGCAGGACTTGGCACTTGGCCTTATTGAATCTCATTCTCTTGGTCTCAGCCCATCGATCCAGCCTGTCGAGATCTCTCTGCAAAGCCTCTCTACCCTCCAGCAGGTCGGCACTGCCACCCAGCTTGGTGTCCTCTGCGAACTTACTGAGGGTGCACTCAATCCCCTCATCCAGATAATTGATAAAGATATTAAAGAGAACGGGTCCCAGTACTGAGCCCTGTGGGACACCACTCGTGACCGGCCACCAACTGGATTTGACTCCATTCACCACCACTCTCGGGGCATGGCCCTCCAGCCAGTTTTTAACCCAGTGGAGAGTATTCCCATCTGAGCCATGAGCAGCCAGTTTCTCCAGGAGGATACTGTGGGACACTGTATCAAAGGCCTTGCTAAAGTCCAGGTAAACAACATCCTCAGCCTTTCCTTTATCCAGCAAGTGGGTCACTTTGTCATAGAAGGAGATCAGGTTTGTCAAGCAGGACCTGCCCCTGGTGAACCCGTGCTGGCTGGGCCTGATCACCTGGGCGTCCTTCATGCGCTGCATAATGGCACTCAGGATGATCTGTTCCATGACCTTCCCAGGCACCGAGGTCAGACTGACAGGCCTGTAGTTCCCCGGATCATCCTTCCCATCCTTCTCAGGGATGGGCATCACATTTGCTAGACCGTACCAAGAAGGGTACAAAGAAATTTACAAAACTGAGTGAGTTTAAGTTGAAGTACTGGAGGAGGATTTAGGTAATGAATCTGACCTTCAGCATGATCAGTTACAGCCTCGGTGCTTGAAATAATACAGGAATGTTGTCGAAACCCAACTGGTTAAAAAGCACATGGCAAGTGACAAGTCCACTTGCACCACACTGCCCCTGGCCACATAATAGCTCATCACCTTTTAATACCTGACAATATTCCTGTCTCATGCAATATCAGTCTATTCCACTGAAAAGTATCAGTCTTTGTTCCGTAGTTTCAGTCCTGTCTCTGACAGAAAAGCACCTCCGCGCTGGCTCCATATTATAACGGGCAGCAGATGTAGAAACAGCCCGTATTTTATCCGGAATCATACACCATTGTTAGGAGTACATTGCATATACTGTGGAAAATCTGATTCTTCAACTGGTGATTGCTTAATCGTGAATTGGATTTACATGGGGCCCAGTCAGAATTTCCGGTATTCATACTGCTGGTAATGTTTTATATGTGGTTTGTATTCACTTTGCTTAGGTTTAAATGACAAGGCCAGATACAAAGTGGCAGAGAATCTGGCCATTACATGTCTGTTTTTGAAAGACAATGGAAAAGAGAAGGGAAAGTGTAGCAAAATAAGAGGAAGTGTGGTGAATCTGAATTAGCAGATTACTCACAGATTGAACCTGAAGCTGCAGGTCATTTTTCTCTTGCAACAGGGTCACCATTTTCTCCTCCAGCTCCTTCCTCTTTGCCTCAGACTTTGCAAGCTCTTCCTTGGTTTTCTCAAACTCCCCCTTCATGTTGGCCATCTCCTTCTCAGATTCGGCGCTCTTCAGCAAGGGCTTGATCTTGAAGAACAGCTTCATCCAGGGCCAGTGCTTGACATTCATGAATGCTCTAACGTTGTATTGGATTATATAAATGGATTCTCTGAAAATATATGAAAACGGAGTTTATGAGAATGGTAAGACTTGGATTGGAAACAGACTGATTATTGGCTATATGACATCAGCATTTTCCTCAAGGAACTTTTGCATGAGATTTTTTTCTTCACCTCACTTGTTTTTATCAAAGAGTCATTTCTAGGTCTTTGTCTGCAGAATGGCTGGCTCAGTAGCATGAACTGAGAACTATGTCTGGTTGTAAGAGGGAGAAATACTCCAAAACAAACAAACTTCACTGAAATGTTGCACGGGAATCTCTGATACTTTCCTCAGTCTCAAAGAAAGTGCAAGTTTTGAATACCAGAGTGAAGACTCACATCCTTGAAGTACTACTGCTGAGATTACAAATCTGGGAGTTACTGGAAATTGTGGAAATAGCAGCTTGATGCTTTTTGTGTCACTCCAAATACCATATTAGAAATTATTGTCAGAAACTGAAAACAAAAATGAAATAGTTTTATGGTATTGAATGCAAAAGAATGTTGTTAATGCCCATAGTTCAAGGGGAGATTAGACAGTTCCTTGCAGAGAAATCCAGTAAGAGTTATTGAATTCTTAGAAGCTATCCCTGGCTCAGGAGGACCCTGAGCTAAATATATACTACAGAGTAGTACAACTAAAAGCAGCTGGTTGGCGGATCATCTTACATATTTATGTGATCTTTGCTCTCCATAAAGCTTTCACTTGTCAACAACATTTGAGAAAGTTAGCTTGGCTCGCCCAGTGCTGCCACTTGTACACCCTGAATTTTCCATGATTCATCCCATCTCAGAGGGAGAGCGTTGAAATGGGAAGAGTATCTGGAATGGTTGAAAGTATGGAGAACCTTCTCTGTACAAGCTAGAATTGTTCATCTGAGATGATGGGGCCATAAGCAGAGAGTGGTTATATGCCATTACTTACAAAACTGATGTGATCCAATGAGATTATCAGGCAACATATTCAAAACAGACAAACCTTAGCACTTGTTCAGTTGGCTATATTTGTCACAGGGTTCTTTAAAGGTTGAAAATGGTAACTGCATTCCTGGAGAAAAGATTTGCTATTAAATACTAAGAATCATGGTCCAGTTGCATGGCCCAATTGCTAAATAGCCATTGCCAGAATTTGGGAGGGTATAACAAGGAAAGCACTGTTTTTTGCTTCCTCTGTTTCCTCTAATCTTTCCAAGGGTCTTTCCCAAGGACGGTTTTTGGCCTGAGACAGTATACTGCATTGCTTGACAAAACCTGTTAGTATTTTCATATTTTACCTTCTTGCATTCATCTTTTTGAATTCAGCTCGCATGAGGAACCCTCTGCACATAGCTTGCATATGAGTGATAAGGCTCACAAGTTTCTCATCTCGCATCTCTTCTAGGAGTCCCAGGAGACCTGCCTTGAAGAACACCTAGAACATTAAAGAGGGTCAAATAGTTTGAGACTTAGGTAGATACACAGCCATTGGCAGCTGATGCAGGGTAGTACAAGGCAGTTTTGGAAAAATGCCTGCAGAGTAAAGGTTTAACAGCTAGAGAAATTTTGTGTTAGTATTCATATCCTCAGTGTTCCTGTGATTCATGACAAGTCACTCTATGTATGATCTAATTACATTATTGCAGTGATATTTGATGTGTGCTCCAGAATAGATTGTGGAAGGTCTAGCTTATCAGTAGCTATTAAAACAGAGAGTTAACTTTCAACTTAGTACTATATCCTACTTTGTCTCTTCGCTATGCTCTACCCTTCCGTCAGGCTCTGTAAACTGGCTTAGGGATAGCTTTGAGAAGCATACATGATGATGGATGGTCAGTAGTGTAGGTGACTTGGTTTTTGTCTAGGGATAGCACTGCCTTGGTTGTGTTCATCAGAGAAGCAGAGTCCTAGCTAGTACTGCTTTGGATATGGAAGACAGACTTGTGTGTCTGCCTAAATCCCCTAAAAAGTCTGACTGTCCAAACTTGTCTGAGCCTAACATGTGCTGATATAAATGAGTTCACCTGGCAGGAGAAAGGGGCAGCACTAGTTCTAGTTGCAGCCACTCTGTCTCATTCCGGTAGTGTGGTGTTCCCAGGGCTGACAGTGCTACCCCATACACATACCCCCTGAACCAGCCAAGTTTTCTGTACTTCTTCTTCCTAGTGGTGTACTTCGTTTCTAATCATCGTGAAGGCTGATTTCATATGCAAGAAATACTTTCAACAAACAGTATTTTTTGTCACTAATTATATGCACTCTTCCACAAGGACTTTACCTTGGTGTGGCCAAATCTGTATTGGTTGTGGTCAACATCAATGGAGGAAAGAAGCTTTTCTGAAGCCTTTTTGCTGTCAATGAATTGGCCTTCTGGAATGGCTGAGGCATTAAGAATCTTGTACCTGTGGTAAGAGAAGTTGCAAGGACTGGTTGCAAACAGGGTGAGGAAAATGGCATCATATGTATACATATAAGGTATATGTATACATATAATTTATATCATAAAATATGTGGAAACTGAGCTATCTGAAAGCAGTTGAATATGCCATCTGAAATCTAGACAGTCTTGGCTGAACAGAACGTGATGACAAGGGGACACGTCTACTCTTTAGAGGAATTTTTTGATTGTGTAACAACACAGTCTCCCTGCTGACTGCGGGGAGGTTGGACTAGATGACCTTTGAAGGTCACTTCCGGCCTGGAGGATTCTATGATTTTATTCTACTTATAAAATTAATATGCGTATTTAAGAATGTCTGCAGGTCCAGGAATTAGAAAGATAATAGTGAGAACTTCTCAACCACTTCTCATCTTGTTTCATTGATCAGAGGAACTCTACCCAAGATAAAGTTGAAGATGAATTAAAAGTACTAACAAAAGTCAGCTATATTCCGAAGGGAATCTTGCACAGCTCACAGTCTCTACAAGTTGTACCACTGAATCCTTGAGTTTGGACTAAAAATGGCATGGTATTATTCTGTAAATGCTAGCAGAAGTCCTAGCATTTTGCAAGGTAACTTAATCATTAAGGTAATGCTGTGTCATGGACAGGACCATTTAATCTTTCTAAAGGGGTTTCTTCAGATACATCAGTGAGGATGTGTGCCTCTATGCTAGATCACTTATTATTCTCAAGTCTACCTTGAAAGAGAATATGTAAAATAAAGACAGTGATAATTGTGCAGTGAAATTATTTTAGGCTTCCACTGTAGTTCCTCCTGAACTTCAGCTCATTTCCTTGAAACTATAAAGCACTTTTTGGTTCTGGATCAAGGCCTTTATGGATAGCTTCCTTCATCTGTCACAACAAATTATGATTTGACAAGTGAGACCAGCTAATGCCTTACTGCACATCAGGTTGCAGAGCTTTTTCAGACATTTTCACACCAGTTCAGCATGGAAGATGCTACTGTTACATTTAATTATAACAGCAGCCAGTTCTGATTCAGCATTTCATAGCAACTGAGCTCATGTGAACCAGTTTAATTGTCTCCATTTTGAATATGAGGAAAACAAGGCACAGCACGCAGGTTGGTGACAGAGCACCAGCAAAGCCCTGGATTTTTGAATGCTTTGTCAGTGCACTGTAAGGAGGCTGTGCTGAAAGTGTATTGTTTTTCTATATGCACTCTGGGAGACTTATAAAGCGCAGTCTATAATGCCACTTAATTTGTTACCCTACAAGCATTTTGCATCTCTTTGAATCTTTGAGCATTGACTACAGTTTAGAAATGATAGCTGGTTCTGATGAATCAAGAAATCTCTGGTCTGGTCAAAGAGGGAAGAGACTGGAATGACCTAAAACAGTATTAATGACTTAGTTCCCTCAAACGCCATCAATCTAGTCTGATTCAGAGGGTGTCTCTCCATGGTGTCACCAGAGTGGTGGGTTTACTGAGTTTTTTAACAGACAGTAATAACTGAAGACCTACCGTTGCTTAAAGTCCGCATAAAGGATTCTGCTTGGAAACCCCTTCCTGCAAATTCGGATGCCTTCTAGAACCCCATTGCACCTCAGCTGATGCATCACCAAGTAATGGTCCATTTCACCTTAAAGAAAATACATCCAGCATCCAACATTGGAAAATACATCCAACATCTACCATGCAAGTATTGACTACACTCAAACTTGAATAGATTTGATAGCTAGATAGATTCCAACACAGGAAGGGATAAGGAGGCTGCTTAAAGCTCTCGGTCTGTCTGTAGAGGACAGTTGTTTAAAACTGGAAGAATTCTCTTTCTCCTCCTAATCTCTTGGATATAATAATAACATTTATTATTAAGTTATATTCCCAAGTATTAAAAAAAAAAAAAAAAAAACAACTGGCAGAATAAAACCCTCTTGGAATCACTTTATCATGCAGAAATTTCCGTCAGCTGCTAGAGACATTAATTAGTGCAAAATGGTCCATACTTTATCTTTTCAATGCAATCAATAAAAGTGTACCTAAAAGAATTATTAGAAAAGCCTAAAAACAGCTAAAAACCAGAAAATGTCCAGTTTCTCTTCCTTCACTTCACCATTCTTAATGCTTCTTCCTTGCCCAGCTCTCCAGCCTGTCCAGGTCTCGCTGCATGGCAGCGTGGCCCTCCGGGGTGTCAGCCACCCCTCCCAGTTTGGTATCATCAGCAAACTTGCTGAGGATACACTCTGTCCCCTCGTCCAGGTCACTGATGAATATGTTGAACAGGACTGGACCAAGTATTGACCCCTGGGGGACACCACTGGTTACAGGTCTCCAGCTTGAACCTGCTCCGTTAATCATTACCCTTTGGGTCCTGTCACACAGCCAGTTCTCAATCCACCTCACTGTCCCCTCATCCAGCCCACACTGCCTTAGTTTCCCAATGAGGATGTTATGGGAGACAGTGTCAAAAGCCTTGCTGAAGTCAAGGTAGATAACATCTGCTGCCCTCCCCTCATCCAACCAACCAGGTAAAGCATCATAGAAGGTTATCAGATTGGTCAAACATGATTTACCCTTGGTAAACCCATGTTGCCCACTTCCAATAACCCCCGGCTCTTCAACTTGTTTGGAGATGACATCTAGAATGAGTCTCTCCATTACCTTCCCAGGGACAGAAGTGAGACTAACTGGTCTGTAGTTCCCAGGGTCCTCCTTCTTGCCCTTTTTGAAGACTGGAGTGATGTTGGCCTTCCTCCAGTCCTCAGGCACCTCTCCCGTTCTCCATGACTTTTCAAAGATGACAGAGAGTGGCCCAGCGATAACATCTGCCAGCTCTCTCAGCACTCGCGGGTGCATCCCATCAGGGCCCATGGACTTATGAATGTCCAGTTTGGCCAAGTGCTCCCGAACTTGGTCCTCTTCTACTGGAGGAAAAATTTCCTCTCTCCATACCGTCCCCCTTGCCTCCATGGCCAGAGATTCATGAGGGGCAGCCTTAGCAGTGAAGACTGAAGAAAAGAAGGCATTCAGCAATTCTGCCATCTCCGTGTCTTCCACCACTAGGGTGCCCATCTCATTCATCAGTGGGCCCACATTTTCCCTCATCTTCCTTTTACTGTTTACATACCGAAAAAAACCCTTTTTGTTATTCTTAACTGTAGTGGCCAAGGTGAGCTCAGCTTGAGCCTTGGCCCTTCTAATTTTCCCCCTGCATATCTTCACTGCTGCCTGGTATTTCTCCTTGCCTGCCAGGCCCCTTTTCCAAAGATGATAAACCTTCTTTTTGTTCTTGAGCTCCACCCAAAGCTCTTTATTTAGCCAGGCTGGTCTACTTCCCTTCCTGCTTGTTTTTTGGGACTTGGGTATGGCTCTTTCCTGCGCTCTGAGGAGTGCCTCCTTGAAGTACGACCAGCCTTCCTGGGCACCTTTGCCCTTAGGGACTGTCTCCCAAGGGACACTTTCAACCATGCTCCTGAAGAGGCCAAAGTCTGCCCTTTGGAAGTCCAAGGTGGCAGTTCTGCTGGCCCCCGCCTTGCTTCAGCAAGAATTGAGAATTTTCTCATTTCATGATCACTCTGTCCAAGGCAACCTCCAACGTCTACATCCCCCACAAGACCTTCTGAGTTAACTATCAGCAGGTCCAGTAGGGCACCTTCTCTAGTCGGTTCCCTCACCAGCTGTGTTAGGAAGTTGTCTTCCATGCACTCCAAGAATCTCCAGGACTGTTGCCTCTCTGCTGTGTTATATTTCCAGCAGATACCTGGGAAGTTGAAGTCCCCCATGAGTACAAGGGAGAGTGATCGTGAGGCCTCTGCCAGCTGCTTATAGAATATTTCATCAGTCTTTATATCCTGGTTTGGGGGTCTGTAACAAACTCCCACCACGATGTCTGCCTTATTGGTCTTCCCCTTGATTCTTATCCATAGTCCCTCAACACTGTCATCATGCATATTGCCAAGTTCTAGGCATACAATACTGTTCTTAACATAAAGGGCCACCCCACCACCTCTCTTTCCTTGCCTGTCCCTTCCGAAAAGTTGGTAGCCATCAATCACAGCACTCCAGTTATGCGAGTCCTCCCATCACATTTCTGTGATGGCAACTAGATCATAGTTTTTTTGCTGTATGATGGCCTCCAGCTCTTCCTGTTTGTTGCCCATGCTGCATGCATTCATGTAGATGCACTTCAGCTGGGCTAATCGTCCCACTATATTTCTGGGAGGGCAAGCGCTAATTCCCACCTGTCCATGTGCAGACATTTCTGCAGTTACCATCTTATCACTGCTCCTCATGTCTTCACAGCCACATGTGTCTTTCTCTCACACATCAACTGCTGCAACAGGCTGCAAGGCCTTGCTGGCACCCTTACCAACTAGCACTGGCACGCTACTCCTGGGCACCACTTTAGTAGCCCTGGTTCCAACCTGGTCCCCCTTCAAATCTAGTTTAAAGCTCTCTCAATGAGCCCTGCTATTTCTTGTCCCAGTATCCTCTTTCCCCTTTGGGCTAGGCTTCCCCCACCTGCTGCCAGCATCCCTGGTGACTTGTAGATCAGCCCATGATTAAAGAAACCAAAGTCCTTCAATTATTAATTTAAATATGCTTTTCTATTATAGTAGGTTTCCCAAATTCTCCCTTTACACCTTCTTGACTGTCAAGACTCCAGTGGGATTCCTCTTTCTTCACTTTTTAGGATATAAAGTGTGGATGTTTCCATTTGGGCTTCATTTATAGTCAGTGGAGTGAAACAGTTTCTTCTAGGATGTGATTCATCTCATCCTAAGATAGATGCAGAAAAGGGGCCAGATGAATCATACCTTAAAATGCCAGCTTCTCTCCACTGAATATAAAAGGAGTTTAGATGAATAGCTGAAATGTGAATGTCATACATATGTCTGTTGCTTAAATCCTACTTGTGGTCTTCAGGGTTACACAGAGACATAAACAAGAAAGATAAGAAATGTTCTGAAACTGGTCTTTTGTTTCTTCAGCAGATTAAACAGATGCTAAGATCCTGTTTCCTGGTACTCCTGTTGTATCCACTACACTCTACCAGTATCAACCTTATCATCTGACCAGTGTCAGACCTCATAATGATTAGACTCCTACAACCCACACAGGCAAGTCTCTCCCCAAGTAGTTTAATTTAATGGCCACATGTAAATACTCCCAAACTTAACTGTTCTTAGAGACTAAACACTTTATGAGAGTTTAATATTTAATTAAATAAAGGAAAAAACCTAACTTTATATAAAAATGCTTTCCAACTGCTAGCAGTACCCAGCAGCGTGTACACAAAATTCTACAAATGATGTACAATTTCTTTGACAAACCTTCAGCTCAGTGAATCAGATCCTAATATTGAATACCTAGAAATTGGTAAGTGGTCTTGGGCTGAACCCAACAGTTCTGAATGACACAGTAGTCCCTAAAAGTAGGCATTTTCTAATGCTCTTGCCCACAACCAACAATTTAATCAGCTGTAATCAATTCCATCTTTATCATATTCAGCTCTGTATATAGATTAAACAAAGATGGGTAAGTGCTGTAGACCATATAATACTCAAATTTTTACAGTCATGGGAAACAATACAAGGTTTACTTGGGCACTGTCCTGCAGGACAGCCCCAAAGAACTTCACATGCAATGGGAACTGATCTGGAAGAAGTAGGTGTGGAAGCTAAGCAGACCAATTCCTGTCAGTCTCGTGTCTTCAGAGTATAATAATGGACTTACCAGGTGTCTTGGTCTCATTAGGAATCAGGCAACGCACAAAGTGAGGATGGGTACTTCTCAGGTTAGTCATCAACTTGTTCAGATTTTCCTGTGACAGAACGAACCATGGGTTTGAGCTTTGGGCTACAAAGCTTTTGCATTTTTCTTCAAATGTCAAGGAGTCATACAATCACAGAATGGCTTGGGTTGGAAGGGGCCTTTGAAGATCATTAAGCACAACACCCTTGCCGTAAGCAAGGACATTTTTCACTAGATAGGGTTGTTCCAAGCACTATCTATCCTGACCTTGAACACTTCAATGATGGGGCATCCACAGCCTCTCTGGGCAACTTATTCCCCCTCACTGTAAAAAATTTTCTTCCTTATGTCCAATCTAAATCCACTCTTTTTCAGTTTAAGACCTTTGCCCCTTATCCTGTCACTACAGGCCCTGGTAAAAAGTCTTTCTCCGCGATTTATATATATATACCCCCTTTATATATTGGAAGGCCACAATAAGGTCTCCCCAGAGCCTTCTCTTCCCAGGCTGAACAACCCCAACTTTCTCAGCCTTTCTTCATAGGAGAGTTGTTTGAGCCCTCTGATTATTTTGTGGAAGCATGGCTCATTTAAAAAGAAATTCACATACCCTGAACACGGCAGACACTGTCTGGAAAGAGCCCCCCTTCTTCTTAGCACCTTTCTTGCCACCACCGCTGTCACCTTGAAAGACGTAGATGGGAGATGAATGATTAGAGTAAGCAGTACGTTTTGTAGGCCTCACCTTCCTTTATTTGGTCATGGGCCAATAAAATAATGAATTTTTAATTTTAAATACTGACCCACTGCTTAGTGAGAGTTTTAGTCAACTGCTACTAGCTGGCTGTTGGTAAGTGTATTTGGTCTCATGCATGAATTAAGTTGCATCATAATGTATATGGCTTTAGTGGTATGGAGCACTATGGTCTGACATAAGTTTCATAAGCGTACTCTGTGCTACTAGTCACATTTCTTTTACTTATAGACATAGCCCCATTTTTTGTTTTTATTTTTTACTTAGGTGAAAAGCCACAAGAATGTGGCTGAGCAGGGGACATTCGTTTATCAGTGCAGTGAAGTATTCTTTCAAAAAATCTCCCAATCCAACGTTCCAGGTGAGGAATAAGGATCTATTGTGAGTTATGGCAGCCCCAAGGCAAGAAGCAAACTATATTCTCAGCAATATAAGTCCAAGCATCTCAGGGCCTTTTCATATTTTCTGCACTGTTGAAGCCAATCAAATTGAAACTGAAATGGATTCTTCATGCTCTGAACTTCACACCTTATCCAAAAGTTTATCCCCACAACCTTTTCTTCTCTCCTTTCTTGTATTAATGACACCTGCAAGGACCACAGCTGACTCTTCCTCAGTATTTCCTAGGAACTTGCTCAGGCACATGGTTACATCAGCCAAACCAAACTGCAAGAAACTCTCCATGCAGTACTCTCTTGAGCCTCAAACCCTGCTGTCCATATGCCTGGTGGCTGACGTGACTGCTACTGTATACTGCCACTTGTTTTTGCCCAGGCTGCCAGAATATTGCAATTTTTTTGTAGAAATCTGTGTGGCCATTTTTTGTAAGGCAGACCTATTGATGGTCCAACTTGATGGTCTTCAGCCATCAAACAGGACAAGAGATTGGACTGCTCTCTGATGCCCTTAGAGGACTTTCAAATTATATTCTCTCTCATTTTCCCTTGCAACACCAGGACTGCTCAGCTGAATATGAAGCAGTTACATGGTCTCCTTTTAGTTCTTCCAGTTCACCTCAAGAAATAAAACTCTGTTCCCAAATACTATAAAGTGTTGCATTTTGAACGTATACTTGGTACCTGTCTAGATGAGCAAGCATGTGCATAATTCAGAACACAGTTATTCAGGAATCATACACCTCCTGTCACTTTGTTTTGAACTTGCTGAGTTTTGCTTCTCTCCACCACATGAATGTGGTGTTTTCAGCGGTTCTGCATGTTTGTATCTTAGTTGTGGCATATATGAGTGCACACAAGAACAGGGTCACATTATGGGATGATAGAGAGTCTAGACCATACAACAGAGAGCAGAAGCAGAAGTAGACTTTAGTTGTTCCTTGCTTTATCGATCATCACTGGAAAAGCACTTACTTGTTTCTGCACCAGCATAGTTAGAGAAAAGGAAGGACAGCAGCTTCAAGGATGATTTCTGGTACAGTCCCACAACAGTTTCATTCAAGGGATCCTTGTTCTTGTCAAGCCACCCGGTGATGTTGTAATCCACTGTGCCAGCGTAATGCACCAGGGAGAAGTGAGCCTCAGCCTTGCCTTTGACAGGCTTGGGCTTCTGGAAATTGTTGGACTTGCCCAGATGCTGATCATAGAGCTTGTTCTTGAAAGAGGTGTCAGTTGCCTTGGGGAACATGCACTCCTCTTCCAGGATGGAGAAGATGCCCATGGGCTGGGAGAAATGTGAATACACGAAGAAATTAAGTGGCAGGGAGAGGAAAAGTAAACAAAATGTCACCTTGCATATGATTTGTGACTTGTTTCAGTGACTGTAATTTGTACTGCACAAATTCTTAATATATTGCGAGTTACTATAATCGTCAGGCAAACTACAATTAGTCTGTGTTGTTCAAGCTACTACCCAGGAAGTACCCAACTCAACAGTACTGTTTACATGCATCTTTGAATGAAAGGCTAACTGTATATATTATAATCGTTTCAATCATCTTTACCCTACATCATTAGGAAGTAGGCTTTAGCATCCTGTTTGCAGGACTGATGCTGTTGTGTGTGTCTATTATCAGCAAGGTTGCAATTGTCAACACGAACTAATGTTCAGGAATATGTATAGATAATGAATATCTAACAACTCCTGCCTCAAGTGAACATGCACGATGGATCAGATTTTCCTTGCCTTACATGGAGTGCAAATGGCAATAATCTGGCAGGTTAGAATATCCATAGACTTTTAATTTGTCTCTGAATTGTATTCAAAATTGTAAGTATTTCAATACATGGATGTAGGCACATTCTCAAGGACATCAGATCTGTAATGTGAGCTACGTTAGGTATCTTCTGATAGTGCAGTTAAGCACATGTCCTCTGATTTTCTTGGAGACACTTATGTGACCTGCACTTCATTGGCCTACAGAGAATTCTAGGAGTTCCTTCTATATATGAATGGGGTTTTTAAAAATTTAATTTAATAAGACGCCATTAGATGCTTACAACTGTTTTCAGCTAGGTAGCTGCCAGAGCTAGATCCTCCAGAGCAGCAGCAGCCACAGGAGGTGGATGTTGGGCAGGAATGCCGTGTTTTGAGTGAAAATTTTGCCCTGTGTGGCTGCTGTGTGGGGGTTAGCATTCATCTTGCCTAACTGTAGGTGTCTATAAAACAAATTCTAGATCTGAGTTAGCTGCCCATATTCCTCTTCTATAATGGAATCATTATAAAGACATTTCACAGAATCACTAAAAGAACATTCTTTGGAAGTAGGTGATTTGCGTCCTATAAGTGTCTACTTTCCTGTAATTACAAAAGAGACTGCAGCATTAGATCAGCATAGGTATTCTGATTCCTCTGGCTCTAATACTCTGTACTGCAAAGATGTGGGACACAAATGTGTGGACAATGAACAGTAAGTGTGGATTTTGGTTGTTAAATATAGTAATATGCCACAGGCATTCACTAGCTGTGAATGTTAGCGCTGGCTGCAGAGGCTGCTATGCGGTGGGAAGTGTGGGAGGTTAGCAAGAAAGGTGAGGCCTGTGTGTGCCAGCAAAGGCATAACCCATGGGCATGACTATCAAGCAGTGAACACGTGTGTGGGATGGCTGAATGAGGCACTGGGCATGAATGATAGTACTGGGAGCAGATAACTATGTGCTGCTGAGGAGGAAGCTGTTTGGGTATGTATGTACTGGATTTGCACATTATATGTAAGCACAACCAGCGGACACTGGTTTGTAATGTGGTGGTGAGGGGTTAATTCCCCTTGAGATCCCCACTGAAGTAGCAGCGCGCAGCGACAGAGGGACCAGAAGGAGTTCTGTTGCTAGAACTAAGAACTTCATTCTCTCCATTATTGCAAGGAGTAAAGACTTGAGGTTCACCTTACTGTTAAAGGCAGTCTTGTTAAAGGCACAAAATGAACATCGTGTACCCCAGCCATGTTGTTCAGGAAATCATTGTTTGTGCAGAGGCAGCATGTCATTCCAAAAGTGTCAGTTTTATAAACTGTCTCTTCTTCTGTGAGAGGGTTGTTCAGCAGTTATGTGCCAATTTATTAAGAGTGACTGGCCTAAAATAAATGACCATGAAAGAAATGGGCTTTCCTAAAATGAAAGGATTTACTCTACCTTCTCAATGAGCTCAATGCAGGCAGCCAGGTCCATCCCAAAGTCAATGAACTCCCATTCAATTCCTTCCTTCTTGTACTCCTCCTGCTCCAGCACGAACATGTGGTGGTTGAAGAACTGTTGCAGTTTCTCATTGGTGAAGTTGATGCACAGCTGCTCCAAGCTGTTGAACTGCAGAATGCAAAGTATAAAAAAATGCCAGTTAGTTTGGAAAAGTCATCAGTGGGCAAGCATACCTACTGTAACTCACATCAAAAATTTCAAAGCCAGCAATGTCCAAGACACCAATGAAATGCTGTCTGGGTTGCTTTGTATCCAGCTGTTGGTTGATTCGAGTAACCATCCACAGGAACATCTTCTCATAGACTGATTTAGCCAATGCACCCACTGAATTGTATACCTGTAAAAAACACGGTAGTAATGAAACTGGAGTTAGCTTCAAAGTTGAAAGAAATGTCTGAACAAAATGAAAGGCTGATCAGCTCTCTAGGTACCTGTTGGACATTTTGTCCTTTAGTTACATATTCATTCCCAACTTTCACCCTGGGATAGCATAAAGCCTTGAGCAAATCAGCAGAATTCAGACCCATCAGGTAGCCAGCTTTGTCAGCCACTAGGATCAGAGACAGCAAATGAGTTCAAAAGAGATAAAGAAAAGTTTCCTGGTGCACTAGGATGTTTGTGTTACAAAGAGTCTACTTTTGGTGCTACTCAAATGCACCTATCATCAAGGGTAGCTCCTTGGAGCTGTTTTGGAGACATGGAGACTGTTTTCCCCCCAGCACAGGCAGTGTCTCAGCTGCGGCACACTGATGTTGCATGCCTGGAGAGCTGCAGCAATGCTTCATCTTTGTGTCTCTCGGTCTCCTTGAGGAGCGTAAATTACATGATTGACTTTGTGGAACTTGCAACAAACTTAAAACATTTATTTTCTGGAAGGGAAAATCATTGTCAAACTGTTTGGCACTTTATGGGACAGGGTTGCTAGCTTATCTCCTGGTGCAGTTCACAAGCAAACTCTGCAGCAAACGGTACCTTCTGTGCCATCTGGCTCCGCCTGATCCTCCCGCTGCTTCTGCTTGAACTTCATGTTCCCGTAGTGCATGACAGCCCCTGTCAGCTTGTACATCCCCACCTTCTCATCAGGGCTGAAGCCCAGGATGTCCGCAGCACTCTGCAGAGGCAGGCCAGGGAAGGTCAGAGAAGCACAAGAGCTGAAGCACAAGTGCTATTGACAGGCAGGTGTGCTGCAACAGGATGGTGGGCTGTCTCCGCCTGCCTCCCTGCCAGCACCTAGCATGTGGAGCTCTGGCCAGCCCTGTGCTTGGCAGGGCTCCCCAGCTGCCCCCAGCCTGACGGTGGGATGCCCGTGGCCACTTGGCTGCACTCACATCGGTCGCCAGCAGCTCCTCGCTGTCATCGATACTGGCAACAGTGATTTCTCCTTGGCTCACATAAAGGAAGTCGTAGGGGTTGGTGGAGATAAGGAGGAGATCTGCAGGTATACAAGGCATCTTTGGTGGCACTGCAGCAGGTGACAGCAGAAAGAGAGAGCACTTGCAGAGCCAAGCCCAGCACTGCTGGCACTCACCAATGAGCTCTGGCTTCTTGTTGGACATTATCTGGTAAAAAATATGATAGCTCCTTTCACTGGCCAGCTGGAAAGTCACTCTGGATTTCTCCAGAAGATCTAACCAAAAGAAAGATGCCATTAATCTCCTGGCAAACTTGAAATCATTAATGCACAAAGTCTATGTGCACTGACTTGCTCCAACTCACAGGTTTCGATATCCGCAGAGGCCAGCTTGCCAGTTGTTCCAAAGTGAATCCGGATGAATTTTCCCTATCAAGCAGTAAAGATCAACATATTGGTTATAGTGATCAATGAATGAGACTTCTATTAGATGTCTGCATTCTGACAAATCTGAAATGAACTCACAAAGCGTGAGGAGTTGTCATTCCTCACAGTCTTGGCATTGCCAAAGGCCTCCAGCAGTGGGTTGGCCTGGATGATCTGATCCTCCAGCGTTCCCTAGTAACAGGAGTAAAAGCATCTTATCAAAATTCACTACTGGTTAATAACAAATGTTGCCAAAGACATGTTACAAACAGATAGTTTTACACTTCATATGTGTTTTTAACCTAAAATTTAGGAGAGGTTTCAAGCACTCATTAGCCATCAGTTGTGAATATTGCCATTGGTTTCAAAGGGGAGAGTGCTGAAAGGCAGATCTGTATTTTTTTTCGTTCTTGTACCTGCTATCCTATATTTGGTATCTTATGCAGAGTCACTACAGTGGAGCTCAAGGACTTTGAAATCTGTATGGGAGAAGCACTTCCACATTCTCATTCACAAAGGCCATGACAGCTAAAGAAAGTGTGAAAATTCTGGGATTTTTTCAGGAGGTTACTCAAGTCTAGGACACACAGAGAATGGTACAGCCTTTAGGAGGAAGCCAGGGAGAATATGAAATTTTGCAATGGCATTCAACCAATCAGCAGCCTTTTAGAACACAGAAATACATCTCAACTACCAAACTTAGAAAAGCAGAGAACAGGAACTCTTTTTTTGCTGCATGACAAGAACAATCAACATGTAATGTTTTGATATTGTATTGTATCACTACTGTTAAATGCAAAGGGAGGAAAGAAGCTTCTGTGACATCATGTCTCTCATTTTCTGTGCAACATGGTCCAGGAAGCAGAGTCACTGTGTGCAAAGTTTTCATGAGGCTTCTAGCAAAATTATGATTGATCCCTACGTATTGATGCCATGATTGCCAGGGATGATTTCCAAGACAGAGATGGAAAATGAAGAATGAGAAAAAAAAAAATCGTTTTTATCTAGTTGGAAGATTAGTGGCACAGCTCAAGTTACTGCATTTTTGTACGTGGTGTCAGTGTAGCCTTTAACATCTTGCAATGGAGAGGGAGCGCAATTCCCAACACTGTCTGCAGATGGCGCAATGGGTTTAAATTAGTTTTTATCAGGCTACAGTGAAGGCGGACCCTGTAAAATTAAGGCAACATATGAAGTAAAATTAAGTAGCATGTGAAGCTCTATATATTTTTTCTTTTGAAAAAAAGTAAAAAAATCTCAAATCCCTAAAGTAATGCCCTCTCACATGTATCTTTCAGGTTTCTAAATGAACTTCCTCGTTTAAGAGATGTGTGTGTCAGTGCAGATGACTACACTAACGCCAAATCTCTTTTTAGCACGCAGTTGTGACCAGGGAACTCACAAGAGAGCACCGTGCTTGAAAAACAACATGGAAGAAGACATGGCAATTCTTTACACAAGTTCATTCTGAAGTCCTGTCTACTTGGTGACAAAATGCTGCAGGCTGAGACAGCGTTCTTGGGAAATCCCGTTATATGCTTCCCTTATTCATATACTCTTGCCTGTCATCTGATTTCAGCCTGAATCTGAGCTAGGATGTTGGGTTAGACACAAGTAATACCTGAGTGTTTTATTTGATGTTCTTATGAAGAAGCACATACTACTGTTACAGAGATTGTGAACTCTAAAAAAACCAGAGTATTCTGTTAATAAACTCAGAAGAGGGCAGAACAGGTGGTTGCCCATCTGAGAGCTAGGTGATTTTCCTTACATCAGGCATGGTCAATACATCTCCCAGCTGTCTCAAAGTTTTTCTGAGATCAGTCCTGGCATAGTGAGCAGCAGGTGAAAGCTGAGCCCAGCGGATTCTGAAATGGTGCTGATGGAAAGAGTGCTTGCCATGAACTTGCCATGGCCATAACAACCTATCAATCACAGACACCTGCCTCTGAGTGTGAAAAGTATATTCAACTTTGGAATCTCCTTAGGTTCTGCTGTGCTGTGCACTTGGGTACTCAAATAACATGCTGACATGTGTCACCCGCTTTGATGCACGTACTATCTCACAGGCTGATGACAACACACTTGTGCCACAAGGATGTTTGTTGCTTGCTCTGTACTAGGGAATGGAACCCATGCCTTGCAAATGCACAGTGGGCTCAGATTGCAGCAGCTGGGCTGCTCAGCAGAAAGGGGCATCGGAGCATGTGCTTTCTTCCCTGGAAGCATTCTTTCAGGGGTTACTTTCTAACCATGGGGTAAGTGGTCCTGGCTGTCCCAAATTTATCACATTTCTTATGCTGCCACTCAGGGCTGTTACCTTACCACAGGCAGGACAACAAGCCCATGGAAACTACTACCTGATGCAATTGAAATTACTTTTAACTTCAGCACAACCGTTCTGGAGTTCTGAGTTCCTGCACTTCCCTCATCAATAGGAGTGAAACAAGGAATAGGAATGAGAAGGTCAACAGGGGCTTTGAGCAACCTGGTCAAGTGGCAGGTGTCCCGGCCCACAGCAGGGGGGGTCTTCAAGGTCCCTTCCAACCCAAACCATGTTATGATTATGTGAACGGCACAATCATGTGCCAGTGGGAACCAACTGCTCTCTTTGCACTTGCAGCCACTCAGGTGCTGTGGATGGGGCCGATCTCACAGAATACTAATGGATAGATACATGAACAGACAGCACAGAAAAAACTGCTGTCTTATGTTACCTTCTTCTCCCTAGTGAAGACTTCCCCTGTATAAATGGAGACTGGAGACAAACTGACTCTTGCGCCTTTCCTATGTCAAGAAAACGCTTCTTTAAGTATAGTTCCGCTAGCATTCAGAGGGATGGAGGCTGGGTAGCAGGGGTAAACAAGTACAGGTGCAACTGTTTCCTCAGTTGCACTACACTTTCTGCCTTTTGATATTCCTGCAACTCAAAAATATGCATTGACAGTTTCTGCTCTGCAGCCACAGTCTTGGGCAAACACAAAATGTCATACCTGCATTTTGCCAGGCTGTTGGTCTTTCTTCTCACCAGTAACTGCAATTGTTGCAAAGTACTGGATGACACGCTTTGTATTGACAGTCTTCCCTGCACCAGATTCTCCACTGTTTAAATGAAAATATTAATTCTTACGGGAAAAAGAATACACGTTTACTTCTCTGTCAGCTTTGTCACACATAACAAAATATACTCACGTGATAAGGATTGACTGATTGTTACGATCTGAAAACAAGATCACAGAAAGAGCTGTTCAAATGAGACATGAAGGGCTTCTGTTCCTCAGATATAACTAACTGATTTCAAGGGAAAGAACTATATTGTAACTTTATTTATCCCTTTGTAACCAGATAAGGTAAACTCTGCATTAGTCTGCTTTTGGGTTTTTTTGTGCACAGAGGGATGGAGCAGCCCAAAATCTAAATCTAAGCAATGGTTCTTTATCAGGCTTCCCACTTACTATTTGTTTTCTTTTATGTATGAATCTTGGCTTAAATATTGTTTAATCAGAATCAGATTCTCTGCTGTTCCTTGCTTACTGTATCTTTAAATTCACTACTAGGAGAGTGGGCAAAAGCCTTACAGCTAGCTGCTGACTTTCCTTCATTGTATGTCAGTAAGGAGGTAACTAAGCTGCCACAGGCAGTCTGATCTTGAGTTCTGCCATAGGACTATGGGACCTATTGCTCTCAGGCACTGAGTAGAGAGCACCTGAGATGCCTGAACTGCCAAGTGTTCTTGACCAAGCAGCCAGACCTGGATATATCAGGGTTTCCCATTCTTGCCAAATGACTCACCAGTCAGCATGGACTGATAGGCGTTGTCAGAGATGGAGAAGATGTGTGGAGGGGCCTCCTGGCGCTTCTTGCCTCGGTAGCCAGCCACCACCTCCGGGTTGTACACCGGCAGCCACTTGTAGGGGTTGACAGTGACGCAGAAGAGACCCGAGTAGGTCTGTGAGGAAGGCAGACAGCACGTTGGCTTCCACTTAGCCACTTCCAGAGCAGTTCCTCCCAGCTAGCCAAGGGAAGAGTGCTGCTGGTACTTACGTAGATCATCCAGGCTGCATAACGCTCTTTGAGGTTGTACAGCACAGCGGGTTCATGGAGGTGGGTCATCATGGCCATGTCCTCGATTTTATCAAATTTGGGAGGGTTCATGGGAAAGACCTCATCATCCTTTACAGTTACAGTCTGACAAAACCAGAAGGGAACAGGAGAAGGAATCTAAGCCAAGGAACTGCCTGAAATGGGTCATCATTTATGAGTAACATTTGGTATCACTTACTGTATCATCATATGTTTTAACTGTGACTTTGCCACCTTCTCTACTCTGTATGCTACCTTTCACATACATTTGCTTTTCATCCACTACAAAGCAGGCTGCCTTTGCATCAAATGGGCGATTCTGGGCTTCAATTCTCTCCTTCTCCGACTTCCGTAAGTAGGGAGCAGCTTCTCCAAAGATTGCCATCTCTGCATCTGAACTCATGGCTGGAGTTGCTCTGGAGAATTCAGAAAAGTTTCAGAAAGCCTGTGCATTTGTAATTTATATTTATACAGACAATGGTCACGCTCGGTGACTAAAAGGAAAAAGAGGACTAACCAACATCAGACACTTAACTTCTGCCTCAATTTTAAGTATCCACTGAAGAAGTCCTAATAAGGAAAGTTCCTCTTCTACACAGAGAGGTATTGTCTTTGAAGACATCCCCCTTAAACGGGATGTCTGTGTGCCCAAGTGAGGGCAGAGTATCAAGCTAGAAGTCTTCACAAGTCTCTTCTGCTGTTTCTTCACCTGCTATTCACACAGCTGCACAGCCACATACTTCTCAAAGCCAAACACACCTAGCCACTTAGATATATTGTGCCATTAGACATCTAAAAATTTAGACACAAGTAAGATCCATAAGTTAAGCAGACTGGCTTGCACACATAACTTCTGATTGAAAGTATTCTTGGTACACTTCTATTTTCGATGTTTTAATACTAATCAGGAAAATTGCAACTAGTTTCTGTCTGTACCAAGCACTGGAACAAATAGGGTCAATCATCATGTATCTAAAGGCTAACCTGTTTATCATATAAACCAAATATAAAACATTTTTAGATCTCTGGCAAAATTTGCTAATAAGGGAATATAATGTATATTGAAGGTAATAATTAATAGCATAGTATTATCTAGGCAAATGAGTATTTGATATAACATTTCAAAGAATTTCAATTACAAAGTACCTTTTAGCTTTTATGTATTATATAGATAAATGGTGGTTATGAATCATTAGAAGACAATTAATGTGTACCAATATGTACCAGTCATTCAGTAAGGGATTTCTCTAGTAGAAATATTTCAGAAAACTGCTTTATGCTCAGTTTTATTTTACATTTTTAGTAATACCTAGTAAAAATTCTTCAACACAAATAGATACTATTGGTTGCTATAGTCAGAAGGACTGGTGTGAATAATTCAAGAGCATCTGGAAATAATAGAGGCAGAAATAATGTGGGCAGGAACTAGCATAAACAGAATATCCTTCCCCAGGGAAGCTAGTATACAGGCTATCCAAAAAAACCCCACCATTCTAAATTCCTGCTACTTAATGGGCTATCTGATGCACTGAGGTACTAAAAAAGATAAAGGGACAGAATTGAGCAACTCAGATGTATGCTTTCAGGCATCACAATACTGAAACAGTCAACATAAAGTAATTTTATGTGCAAGAAAATGATGAAAGGAGTCTGAAGGCATTTGTAATGCTGTTTTTGAACACATTGCTGTGGAAGTGCTGATCTCTCTCAGAAAAACCTTTCTGCTATGGGGTATGCACCTTGCAGGACTTTGAGGTACTGCATGTCTCAAGAGCCTTTAACACCCAAGAATTTCAAAGCACACAATCCAGAACCTTTAACTTACTTTGAAAGTACTATTCCAGATATATATAGAGCCCAGCATTTTTGCCTATGTAATCCTGCCTCTGAGCAGCTCAAGGGAAGCATCATGAAAGAGAGAAATTATTTCACAATGTCCATGAAAAGATTAAGCAGAGCATCAGAAAATGCCAATAGGTTATCAGAAAATTTCTCAAGAGGCAGAGTCTGTTAAACTACTGAATGTAAAATTTAGATCTTTGTGCATTCATGAGCAGAGAAGGTGGCATTTTCTTGGGGAATAACCTATACTTCCATCTCTTTCATCTCCAAATTCAGTGAGCATTTTTTAGTATTAGGATGGAAGGGACATGTGTGGAGGGTTCCTTCCATTGCTCTGGTGAACTCAATCACTAACCTCCCCCAGAAAGCCTACAAGGGAACGGTGCATATTAAGTTCTGTGTGAAGGTGACTCTGAACATAAACAGATCTATCAGACAGGAGACAAGATCACCCTGAACTTTGTTCTGGTTTCAGAACCTGTGTGATAAGCCAAAGTCAGCATATAATGTTCTGGACTTTATTCCAAAGGAAACAAACTTAAGGTAGGATAAGCTTAAACCCTTCTTAAATTGTACTTTGACCCTCCTCTCTGAACACAACCTCAGTTTCAGGCTTCCAGAAGTTGTGCAGATGGCAGGGGGTGAATTTTAAACATCTATAAAACCCAGAATCCCAGGTTATAGCACTAAAAAACATTACCAACATTGTCTCTCATGTCCTCTTGCCCAAGCTTGAGTATCTGCCGCTTTTTTTTCCCAATAAATGGAGCATTTCCTACCAATAACCGTGAATATGCTCAAATTGATTAAAATAGCATATATCCTTTTCAGTGAACCTGATTCTACAACATGGTCTTTTGCCAGTTGGCCTTGCCATTGTCTGGGTGAACTTCACATTGCTCAGGATCAATTAGCAAAACCACATGTTATTTGTAAAACCCTTACCTTCAGAGAGTCCAGGAGGAAATGTGCTTTCAGTATCTGTGTGGAATGGTTAAAGAAAAGACAGAGTTAAATCAGAACCACTCCTTTGTCTTGAGCATATGCTCTTTCAAACATTTATACACCTTGTGTAGTCTCTTCAACAACTGAATTGTACACAGAACCTTACAACTCTTGAGCTAGCGCCAAACCCACAGAAAATCTTGTGTTCCTCCCATGTTATCATGATCTGCAGAAAATAAATCTAATGTCTAGGAAAAGATCAGCTACATTCCATATATTTTTCCAGTTAGTTTCAACTGCCTTCACAATCAGTTTACCTATGTCTTTCACAGGGCTTGAAGGTCACTCCAAGGAGGGGCACAAAATGGCTCTTCTGCTTTTGCTTGTGCCACCACACTGCTATGGTTTGGGTTGTTTCAACTTGACATTACATGTAAGGCATGACCTGGAATGTTAGTAAGTGAGGAAAGAGAGGAAAATGCCCATACGTATTTCACCTCTTTGCAGAGCTGTGGAGATGCCATGGTCAGAGTATGAAGGAAGCAAATGGGACTTACCGTGAGATGCTGAGGTAACAAAGAATAAGGTTGCCTTCAGCTGTGACTCTTTATATGTAACCTCCTGCCCACACAGCATTCAAGCGCTCTATTTTTGGTCAATAATAATTTACTCTTTAGTTGTAAATGTGTTGAAGCTCTGATCTCTCTGCTAATTACTCAGAGACAGGATTGGTTTAAGGTTGTATGGAGTCAGCTGCACTGACCTGTTCTTTACACATTGCTCTGTGCCAGGATGGGGGATGGAGGTACCCAAAGACAGGTCTGATAATGCCAAATAAGGCAACACTTGGATCCTGGCTTTAACCAACAGGATGCGTTTTTTTCTTTCTAACTGTGTACAATTATTTCTTTGCTGACTATGATTTTAATGGGTCCCATCCTATCTTCTCTATCTACACATACTGATAGAGAAGGAAGAAGACTTAGTGAGGCAGAATTTTTCTCTCATTAAATTTCTCTATACCACTTTATGGAGTGCTGGCAAGTCTGGAGCTAGCCTCAAACATGGGACAGTGTAAGACAACTGCCAGTTGGACTGCAAGACAGATTTGCAGTCCTGGCCTGTAGGTTTACAATACCTGAGACCTGCAGGCATCTTCAAGGTCTCAGCCTGCAGCAAGGAGCCTGGCTTCTGTGCCACTCTATTATCCTGCAGAGGAGTTTATGGAGCAGGCTGATGGTCAAACCAGAATAACTTTGATTTGTTCTCTAAGGGTGTGTGGAAGGAGAGTGTCTGCTCATTTAAAAGTATCTCGTTAAGAACCTTTATTTACACCACAAAGGACAGCAAGAAAGGGAGGAAGCCATCAACAAGAACACACCAGGACACACATCTGACTGACAAATGTTAAGGGAGGAGGTGATGGGAACAAAACCCGGTCAGTCAGGTCAGTCACACTGCTCAATGAAGGCATGTGAGAGTGTGAAAATGTGTATTCCAGCAAGGTTTCCGGTTTGGGAACCTTATCAGTTGGGAAACTAAGGTAAAAGCAGGAACCAGAAGCAATACATACAGAGACATAGACCTGGCTGGACAAACATGGAGACAATGAGAAGAAACAAACCTATCAAGTCACACTAGTTGATGGGCTATCAAGAAAATACAAGCCACTTCCAGGAAGATCAACCTGGACTTCAAGGCTGATAAGATTGTGAGCCACGGGAGGTCCCAGGCAGGGTTGGTGTGGGTGCAGGAACTGACAGAGCTGTAGAGACCCACGAGGGGAGATGCAGGGGAAGTGGGAGGAGGGAGGAACATAGTGGAGTAAACAGAAAAGGGTTTAAGGGGCTGGTCATATGTAAAACAGGGCCAGTCAATGTGCTTGTCTGGCTAAGCCCTGCATCTATTCACCTCGGTGTCTCCTCTCTTCTTACATCGTCTTATTAAATCTCACTCTCTGTCCTGTGTATGTGTGTGCATGGGTGGACTAAGTGCCAGCTACTGGTGAAGCCTCTGTGTGTGTGTGAGTAAAAATTGGTGCTGGCTACTGGGGTCCAGCTGGGGGCACCCCCAGCCTCTGGTGTCAACTGCTGGAACCAGTTGGGTGTCAGTATCAGCTACTGGAGTGAGTGGCTTCCATCCACTTGGGTGGGAATGGTGTGTATTCCCAAAACCAACTACTGGGAGACACCAGGGTGAGTGAGGTGAGTGGCTCAGTGTCAGCAGCTGGAGTGAGAGCAGAATTAACAACCTGTGTGCCTGGTGCCAGCTGCTGGGGGGAGCTGAACATCTGTGTCTCCACCTGTCCCAGTGTGCATGGAGTGTGCATTCACCAGCAAACTTGAAGCTGGACTGGCTGGTCAGTAAGGGGACTTCAGGTCCAGGCTGGGGTATCAGGTAGGCAGGGGGTCTGTGCTGGTAAGTCCATGGGGACTTCTCAATGTGGATTGCCCGTGGGATATGAGCAAGTGCTGCAAGTTTGTGAGCCTGAAGCTCACCAGCTGGCAAATAGGTAACTGTGGAGTAGGTCAGAGGACTGGGGTCCAAGCAGGCGAGGCATATGGGCTGTGCTGGACTCAAGGGAGCTGCAAATGTGTATGTGCTTGTGAAACTGAT